GCTAATAATATAGAATTATTATTAATTTACTATTGTTATTATTAGTAAATTATTAGTAATCTCAAGATGGGCTTCAGTAAACCAGCCCCCAATCCATAGGTTCATTGCTTATTGTGAAGTGTTCACATTTCCTATTATGCTATGGGAGATACTAGCGTGAGTGAATATGTACATGTACTTATTGTACAGTTGGTATAAGTCAAGGGAGATTGATGTTATAAATAATGTACTTATGCTGTGTAGCAAGTTTGAGCTGATTCCAAATTCAATTTTTCAAGTTACGGCCATTTTTTAATGAGCCAAAATCTGAAAAATATCCAAGGCTATAAGCCCATGATTTTTTCGGAAAAATGGCTCCGAAATCACCCCGAATTTTTATTACATTTTTTGATACATATTGATGTCCTTATGCTGTGTAGAAAGTTTGAGCTGATTCCGACTTCAATTTTTCAAGTTACGGCCATTTTTAAAAATGAGCCAAAATCTGTAAAATTCCCAAGGCTATAGCCCATGGTTTTTTCCAAAAAATGGCTCCAAATCACCTCAAATTTTTATTACATTTTCTGATACATATTGATGTACTTATGCTGTGTAGAAAGTTTGAGCTGATTCCGACGTCGATTTTTCAAGTTATGGCAATTTTGAATAATTTACCACTTTCCTGTACTACATGTACATATCCATGCTTTGTAATCAAAATTGTTCATCTTACACATGTATGTACATTTTAAATTCTAAGCATGATTCTCTCTTTCTCTCTCTCTTTCATTACAGTGGTCATATGTTCATTCTTGCTCCTTTGTTTTATTATAATTTTCTAAAAATGAGATACACCTCAAGGAGAAATGGCAGTGTTAAGTAAGAACTACATGCACTACGTATGTACATGTGTATAAGAGAACAACCATATGCATGTACATTTGTTGTATTGATGCTTTCACTTTTACTCTCGCCATTTTTTCTCTCCATTTTATTCTTTTTCTAACCTCTCTCTACCTCCTTGTCTCTCTTTCTTTCCTATTTCCCTCTTTCTCCCCTCTCTCTCTCTCTCTCTTTTCCCCTCCCTCTCCCTCCTCTCTCCTCCAGGATGGTATTTAGTGAGCTCCATACTTCTGCCTGTTTCATTGCTGCTCACAGAAACTGTCCCACAATTATATCCAGTATCATTTATAAAATGGACTCTGTCATATCAAGACTAAACCCAATAGTAACTACAACTACTCCTCCTCCTCCTCCTCGAACAGAGTGAAGAGAGAGAGAGAGGGAGGGACAGTGTGTACGTGTATATGTATTAATAATACGATAATTTGTATGTGGCATACGTTTAGTAATTTTTTGTTTTATTTTTATTTAAAAAGAGAGAAACTGTTTGTAGAGATAGAGAGA